GAAAAGTAGAGCCTGAAATTGTTTTTGCGATCAAAACAAAAATAAAACTCCTCCAGCATTCCTTCAACTAGTTCATGCCCAGTTCAGTTATCAGAAGAAGTAGCGCATCTAGCGGGGGCTCATAGAGAGCGGTATGCTAACTAGCTTACCAACGTTAGCTTACGTTCTCTCTGCAGCTGTTCACCGATGTAAACATGTTGCTGACTTTGCCTAAACTCACCCCTCTGGATTTATAACTTTATGTTGTAAACAGCGTTTCACTTCACACCAAAGCTGATTGTTAAAAAGTCCGGATCCCTACCAGCTTCTGTTGCTGGTGGTGTTACCGGGTTCAGCTGCTGCTCTCACACCAGAATGAGAAGATCTCGGAACGCCGACGTTCATATAAACAAATAACGTCATTTTAACACACATAATCATACATCGGAGCTTTAATATTGATAATAATTGTCTCGCTTTACACTACAGTGGACGGAGCGCAGCCTCCATGGTGAAATACCCATCCATCAGGATTATCAATAACTAGTATAAACACATACATTTATCCCTGTCCCCGTCTTCCTCGTGAAATAAATGAACGTACTCTTACCCGCTAAAAACATGTTCACTGCAAATCTGAGGCCTGCTATACTCCGCTTGATTAATCGCTGCAGTTCATCTCCGTCCTCAGTCTCCATCAAAGTTATTAAAAAGAAAAAATGAGTTGAGTTTACGTCCTTGTCTGTTAGTGCAGCCGACCACGCAGCAAGCTAAAACCATTTTACTGTCAAATCAACTCAATAAAAGCCATAAAAGGCTACAAACTGCCTTGTTTTGACTAGCTTCACTGGAGTTTCAACGGGTGCAAACGGTCTTTTTGCCGTCCATCATGGCGAAGGGGGCGGTCTCATGAGTGGCGTGACGTCACGTGCAAAGGGTCAATAGGCACTGGGGGAGGTAGGTTAAAGCCTAATGCATGCTTTTGCATCGGTACAGACACACGTAGCGCCATTATCCATTAGCTGTAGACACGGAGGAGCTTGAAGAATATGTCTGAAACTCTGAAAATATGGATGTTCTCTCCACCCGTGATTGGAGGAGGAAAGATACGCAGCAAGCGTTTTATTCAAGAAATGAACCGATGGGGCAACGTGGGTTTAGAGGTGGCTGGCGCATGAAGAGGTGAAGGAGAATGAGGGACAAATTCGCCCATATTAAAAAGTTTCTGAAATACATGCAAACACAATGGTAAATACACTGTCTTGGACCAGATGCATGACTGTAGTGGTGGCAGTGTACCCCAGAAAAACACTACGCTCTCTGTTGTCCTGGCAGGGAATTGCTTTGCAACACTCCCCAGCCGATGGAGAAGTCTGAAGGAAAAACGTCAAAGCGTGTGTCTCTCGCTCGCGGAGATGATGGAGAAGCATAACTTAGGCTTAAGGCAGGCACAAGCTGATCTTAGATAATCAGCAATAGGAATCTGTAGAAATCCAGTTCCTAATCCAAATTTGGGAATCATCTGTTACATAAAGTCTAAAGATCTATTGAGTTTTCGGAGCTGAAAAGTGTGTGAACCCTAACCCTCAACAGAACGGTCACCATCAGTGATCAAGAACACTGGCAGGCCAAAAGTAAAATGAAGCCCAACAAAAAAAAAATAAACAAACGTCGATCTCACCGTCCTCCATGATCCTTTTTCAGATAATTGTGTTTTTGACTTTGTGGCGATGTCACCATGAATCAAACACGTCGGCATAATCCACCCCAGAGTCTGGAGCTTTGGGGCGTCTTAGGTGTCTGCACACGTGACGAATGACAAAGATTTTTACACCTCTGCTCATCTGTCGTTATTAGTGCAGATGATCTGCTTCAAAACCCGATCTCCCACCTTGAAGGAAAGTTGGTTAAAAGTTTTGTTTTCCAAACTGTGATTTAAGTCACAAGTTTTACCTGATATAATTTTATCTGACAAACAATCCTGTCTTAAGCCTGAGTCATGCTTCTCCGTCAGATCCGAAAGGGAGAGACACGCACGCACGCACGGACTGAGACATTTTACATTTTGTCCTCATACTTCGTCTCCAGGGGAGTGTTGCAAAGCAATTCCCTGCCAGGACACCAGAGGGCGTAGCTCTGTTCTGTGGTATCCTGTCATGTGTCGGTCCAAGATAGTGTGTTTATATTGTGTTTTTTGTATATAAGAGACTTTTTAACACAGACATATTTGTCTCTCATCCTCCTCCACCTCTTCATGCGCTTGCCACCTCTAAACCCACGTTTCCTGTCATTTCCATCCACAAATAAAACGCTTGCTGTGCATCTTTTCACTCCTCCAGTCACGGGGGAATTAAACGTTCATATTTTTAGAGTTTTTTCACGAGGTATTCTTCAAGCTTCTCCGTGTCTGCCGCTAGTTATCCTCGGCTCTCTTTATGTTTTTGAGGGCGCAATGGCGGCGGTGTAGACGACAGCGGTGCCCTGACCAATCACAAGCTTGCGTTCTCCGTCTCAACGGACGCATGTTTAGACAAGAGAGCTTGACTCCGTCCGTCCTTGCAGGGGCTGTACTGCAGGCTCGCAAGGACGGATAATGGTGTTGCGTGTCTCTGCACTGACGCAGACGCACGACTCAAGCTTAATCCAGACTTTTGGTGTCCAGCGAGCCGAGGAGGAGATGTTTAAAGCAAAACAATTCAACTGATAGTAATTCAAATGGATGAAATAACTTCAACCAGCTTCTCAGATTTCACCAAGAATTTCAATCCCGTTTTTAGAGCTGTCAGGTTTTAGTGAGGATCGAGGAGTCAAGTGGGTATCCACCCTTTGGTCAGTAGACCCACACTTCAGAGGTCCTGGATTCAGACATGTGCACTTTGATAATACTGATCAGAATGTGTTCACCTCTGGTCACTGTTCTCATGAATTTAGAAAATATCCATTAATCAAAGAGTCTGTCTCTGATTTAGTAAGTATTTGAGACTTCTTATAGGCTGGGGTTTTGGGTTCTGACTTTGTGGGAAGCAGAATGTCCAGAACTTCTCAGTATTTGATTATAGTTGTCTTGGTTTTACTATTCTACTGAACTACCCTCAAAGACTACGTGATTCTCAGTAGCTAAAGCAGAAACATCTCTGGTCTTGAAGACCACGTCTACTCACAAACCCTTTTCTACTTGTTCTCTTTTAAATACGATTGGTCAGACTGAGTTTTTCATGCAGGCTAAACGTGAAAATAGTCTTCTAACCTCATTTCCTGCTTTAGCCACTGATAAAAACGGTGAAACTCTCTAGTCAGATCTAGGTCATACTGAAAGTTAACATTCATGGACTCACCCATCTTAGCTCATGACAGGGAAGGCTGTTGCTGGTTTAGCGTCCAGGAAACAGCAGAGAACATCTCAGCTAACAGAAGCTAACCATTAGCATTAGCAACTCCACAGCATGGCAGAAATCCTCCAGGCTTGTGTTACTAGTGGAGATAAAACAACAATGTTGCGAAACAAACTGAGTCACTGGTAGAGTTGTGTTGCTGTTAGCCAATCAGAGGCGAGATGTTCGAATGTCAGTAAATAAGGCTCAGCTCTGCTCTGGCTAACTTCTACTTCCTGGTAGGAATTCTCCTACTTCTCCTACACAGGTCAACAAGGTAATAATGTGTACTAGAAACCTCAGATGTGTGCAAAATAAAAGTGAACTTTGCTAATAGTTTATGCCAGTAGCTGGTAGAGTTTCACTATTAAGGGATTAAAACTTTATTTAAATCGAGGACTGAAATCACTTCTGTAGCGGTTGCAGTGCTATGAGGGTAGAAACAGGAAAACAGAAGAGCCTGAATGTCCAATCAGGAGGAAGCAGGGAAATTTGAATTTTGTTCAGGAGCAGCCATGTCTGAAATCAGCAATACTGCAAGAAGACTCGCTGCAGATGGAAATGCTTGAAATAAAAATGATTAAAACAGCTATTTTCACACGTAAAGTCCAAACGGCATCTAAAACGTCCCAGAGATAAAGTTGGTCTAAAATTCTAGATGGAGTGGTTTTCTGTATTTACCAAGGGGTGCTTTATAAACCAACAGCTGACCTAAGAGCAGAGCCCAGGAGTTAAAGCCAAGCACCCCCAAGTGGCTGGTTCCAGTACACATTTAAGCTCCGCCCCTTCCCTGTAAATTAGACATTATCCTTGTTGTAAAAATAAATATCCAACTTTTCCGGGTCTTTCCTTGCTGCTGAGATTACACACTTTTTATGTCTAGTATTAGTTATTTCATGCTTTAAAAAACCTGGTTTTGCAACACATTCTCATTCCCATCGCATCAAAAACAAACGCTTGGTCAGCCACCGTCCGCGTCAAACCCCTGACGCCAAAAGTGCCCTTTTTTCGTCACTTATGTACGAAAAGGGGGGTTTTCTCCTTTCTGACTGCAGATCCTGATGATGACATGCTGATGAGATGCTGCTGTGAGGTGATACAAAACGCAGGCGAGCCATTTGGGCTGCTGTAGCAACCTGGTGACATTCACACCGTTACCGAGTCAGCTTTAATTTCAGGAATCAGCCCAGAGCTCAAGATAGGTTAGAGCTCAGAGGAAGTCGCCAGGCACGGCGAGCTGCTGGTTCAACGTAAGAGGCTCGATCAGCAGAAGACCGGAGTGTTGATCCCTTGATGCCACACAACCAGGCAGCTCTGCAGATCATTGTTTACACAGCAGAACATCACTTTCCACAGGAGCATTTTCTCTGCTGTAACGTGGAAGCGAAAACTGTTGCGTGTCAAGATCGTAACAAAGTTTGCATCAAATGTAAAAATAAAGCATGTATTGTTTACAACGGCCTGTTTTTGCTGGCGTTTGCTGCAGAAATGATCTCAGCGATTGTTTAATGCGAGCTTTGCAAAGACAGGCGCGGAAAAGAAGGGCCGAACTTTTCTTACACCTGCAGCGTGTGTGTATTGTTAATATGTTGTTGCGTTTAATGAGGTTTTTTTAAAGTAAGCA